TCTTAACATTTTAGTGTTTACTATATGTAGTTTAGAGATTTCCTATTCTTAATTAATCACCCTGTATAGAAATGAGCCTTGATAAAGAGTTGCTCGACATATCTCGAGGTTGATGAAAATGATGGATGTGCTGTGTAATAACTCATAATAAGTCGTCATATGTCTCTTTTTCATTTGTAACAATACCCTGTTTTTCAATAAAGTTATACCACGGCATCAACATCAACGACCCGAGGAAAGCGAAATCTAAAAATGTCAACATTATCGATCTGACAGGACTATATGTATATACCATGTAACGTCATATAAAATATCACGAACAAGTGGTCGACCATTTTACATTATTAGTGGATAATTCCATATTTATGATCTCCAAGTGTACCAATGAACATAATATTGTAAATAATATTCACTTACTTCAATATACTATTTTTGTTCTTATTGACGATTGAGAAAATGTTGATTGTAGTTTGATTTTCATTTATTTTTTGTCTCTAATAAGCAAATCCAATCACTCAAAATCGGAACGGCATGAATTCATTCGGTCCATACAATAGTATATTGTTCAACGAGCACGGAATGATAGTGATTTTCCACGAGAATGAAGTTTGCAGCATGAGCACAGGCGAATGCTACAATTATTCGAGTGTTAAATTAGCGATCCGTGCGAGTTATTCACTATAATTTTTCAAAGGCTGTCGCATTTTTGATTTCTTCGTCTTGTAGCCATCTGATTTCCTCTCAAGTAATGCTTCTCTATAAGACAGTGATGTCATTGCTTGAAATTTGACAATCCATGGGCGATGAGATTTTTTTGGAACAATAACACAATGGAGTGATTGTGATATCAGATACGGAAATGAAATATATGACATACAAAGTACCTTATTCATGTATCGAACACAGTAAATCAAGAGCAATTTCGTGTTATAACCGTAGAAAAATATTCACCATAATAATATATAAATGTTCATTGAATAACGTTCTTATACTCCAGGTGACTCTACAGACGAAAATAACAAGAAATGTTTCAACATGTGTCTGAAAATGCCACAGCCCTCTGAAGGTAGGTCCTTACATGCAGTTGTCAATCGTGTAAGGTCTACAAAGGCGCCACTATACAGCATAGCGCAGCCACCACTTCTTAGACTTGAAATTATTCAGTGACATTAGCGCAGCCACCATACTTCCTCGAGAACTTTTTGCGCTCATTTCCATGGATACGTTGGCTAATCCAAATAATATAACTTGTTGGGGTGAATACAATATCAACATTTCAATGGAATACTGTATAGGTCAAATAAATCTCTCTTTTTTCATTAAAAATGTGTCCGCAATCGTTTCTTTACTGATCTTTAGGGCGTTGAACTTTCGACTTTCGAGTTTTTTCTTGATATTTAATTCAGATTTTGAGATAATCAGCGTTCTTAATTTTCCTCCATCCTCTCATCAAGAATTTCGTCAGAATATATCAACTAACGAGAGAGCTATTAAGATAACAACCTAAAAAAATAGAATCCTCATGGTCTGTATATCGGTATCGGCAAGTGTCACTTTTACTTGAAGAATACGCCCCCCTCATGAAATCTTGCCAGCGAATTCTGAAACATTGTGTATTGATGATATTATGACATTTCATCGTAATCCTGAGACGATCCGATTTATATCTCGAGAGACATATACTTTTGAGAAAAAAACATAAGATAGTTTTATGCCAGAAGATGCGAGTTATTTTGTTTTCCGTCGACCTCGTATTAACGTCTAAGTTTAAAGTATATGAAATCGTTCATTAATGACCCCTATCAATAAACGATTTGTCTATTAATGCACGATTGTTTTATAGGCAACCAAACATATACCGCGTGCATTCATTGTTTATGCTATAACTTACGGAATCTGCATTCAAATCGAAAATATGGATTTCATCGAAGATTTTCCTTTCCAAGTTTCTGACACGATTTTAATCCCTGTTTTTTAACACAAGGGGTTTATTTTCTATGTTGATCATTTCGACAAATGTCAAATGTCACTAATGTCAGTGACAAGGCTACTGGGTGATTCTTATAGCAGTTTCCGGATGAATGATGGATTCGCGAACCAAGTTTCCTTCATTGCAGGAGAAATGAGAAATATAGTCGACGGAAAAATTTTGTAACCAACTTGTATATTAAAAGGCGATTAATGATCTCGAACATTAACGCGCTCGCATAGTTCGCACGTTAAAATATCTCGATCATTAATCGCCCTCATTAATACACTAGTTGGTTAAATAACTATTTGACCATCATCTTCATAAATAATAATAATCGTACTGAAGTACTGAATGATTTCATTTTTGGCCATTTCTGAGGAATTTTCTTGAATTAGTCATTTTCCAACTCATATTTGCACCGTTGATAAGGAAAAATCGAGTATACAGGATGATATACGTTTGTATAACGTCCTCGACAGTTTTTTTCAAATAGGACAACCAATATAATATAAAATTTTTGGATTCTCAATGTCGAGGTGAATTCAAAAATATACCACATTCAGTGCTTTCGTGAAATGAGGTTTTCATTAAAAATCACCGATAACGTTATATCTTTCGACACGAAATATTTTGAATGTATTAATAATTGAAGAAATAATGCCGAAATGAAAATGAAATTCGACGTTGAGCTTTCTTTAATAAAAATATGTATTTAATCATTAACGAATATATTCACTATAGGTATACTTTACCTGTTCGTGTTCTACAAATAAGATTAATCGAATCCTATGGAAAAGAATTCAAAAGTTCTTCTTCAATATCATTAATAACGTGGAAAAAAATCAAATTGCTTTTTCAAAAATGTACCTTTTCCGATATAACTTAAAAACTTTCAATAATTTCGAATATTTCCGAAGGCTATTGGGATTACCGTCTGAATGGGCAACTTTTTTTCCATCTACAGCCAAATTCGTATATCCCACAGTTACCGAGATCCCCATGCTGTGCAACCTTATCTTGGTCACACTGTATAGTAGCTCCCAAATTATTTTTCTGCCTCATATTTCAATTCTTGTTCGGATATCCCACGAGATGTATGCGAACACAAATTCCATCATTTCAAATAAATAAATACTCCCAGAAAACGCCATTGAAGGGAATTACTCGGTGAAATAGCACACGGAACGGTGTTGACGCATGTTTTCAGGGTTCGTTGGTTGGCTGGTATTGATCACTGCCATCGGAACCTGAATCGGATGTTCGCTTCCACTTTTTCGTCCGAATTTGAACAGATATTTATGCGTATCAATTTTTCAGCTCTTCGCGTCTGATAGGAATCCATATGAGCTTTTGTTTGTGAGCTTTTTTCAGAGCGAGCTTTTCAACTATGTTATTGGAAATGCCTATCATACCGTCTGTTTTATTTATGCAGAAATTGCATGTATTTGATAGTTTGAAATAATGGTATTTTGAATATCAACCGTTGAATATATTTGAAAAGTTTCTCTGTGTTTGTTTCGTTTGTGAGACAGGTGTTGAAGTTTTGAGAATGAATCTTCCTTTCAATAATATCTACAAAGTACTTACTTTAGCGACATTTCTGAGATTTGTTGAGGTTCCTTTCGAACCTATCACAAGTACAGGGTATCCCAATTTGGGCACTTTTGCGGGGTATCTCCCTTATCAGTAAAGATAGAGCATTGCGGTTTTCGCGACAGTGTGCTACTTTTTTATGAAATTAATAATGGCGCAAGCAGAATTGTGGTAGCTCTTCCGGTTGTCTAGATACAGGGTGGAATTGAAAAATATCACCCCCCGTGTCTCAGTTATCTTTGAACTTATCGAAGAAGTTGAAACTTGTTTTTATAGAGTTTTTCTCGTAGAATCCAGTGGCGTAGTTATTTTTTTGCTAGCACCTTTTGTTTTTTAGTTATGGAGCAAACATATGTTTTTTTAAATGGAAAATAATTGTATACAATTATATATTTTTGGAAAGCCCACTTCATGCTCAATGTATATATGAAATAATATACAGGGTGTTCCATTTAAAAAAACATATGTTTGCTCCATAACTAAAAAACAAAAGGTGCTAGCAAAAAAATAACTACGCCACTGGATTCTACGAGAAAAACTCTATAAAAACAAGTTTTAACTTCTTCGATAAGTTCAAAGATAACTGAGACACGGAGGGTGCCTGAAAAGTGATATTTTTCAATTCCACCCTGTATCTCGACAACCGGAAGAGCTATCACAATTCTGCTTGCGCCATTATTAATTTCATAAAAAAGTAGCACACTGTCGCGAAAACCGCAATGCTCTATCTTTACTGATAAGGGAGATACCCCGCAAAAGTGCCCAAATTGGGATACCCTGTATACATAGAGAACAAGTTATGGATAGCAGAATGCATCTATGTATCCAGGGTGATTAAAAAGTAAGCGGCATCCTTTCAGGGACATATTCCTTGCATGAATATAAGGCATTCGATGGTGAATAACACTCTCAATTCAGAATTCCAGAATTCCATTCAGGGATGTCACATGCGGAAGAAGGTTATTGTAAAAATATCTCTTCTTCTTTTGATATTATCAGGTTACTGTGATTTTCGCAAATCAGAAAGTTCCCAAAGTCGATTCTCTCCTGAATGGTATACGCTCTATCGGAATGAACCAGGACTTTTTTTTTCACGTGAAAAGCTCTAGAATTTTATAATATTCAAACGAAATCACAATAACCTGAATATCAAAAAAAGAAGGGATGTTTTTACGCTGACTCTCCCCCGCATGTGACACCCCTGAATAGAATTTTGGAATTTTGAATTCAGAGTCTCATTCACCATGAAATCTTCATGCCGTACACCAATTTTCGAAGATTTATTGTGAAAGATTTCCAAGTTATAGAGAGAAAATCGTATACTACACTGTTTTACCACTAACCAAACCGATTTTTTAACGCCTCGACACGTGTTTCGCTAACTATGTTAGCATCTTCAGGAGAAGATTAAAACAAAGGTTTTGAGGTGTCCTATTCAAAGGGGCATAGCTCCCTGAGGAAGTATTTTCGGAACCTTATCAATAGCATCAACTTCTTGCCTTATTTTCATGCGAGGAATACGTCCCTGAAAGGATGCCGCTTACTTTCGAATCACCCTGTATATGCCGTTGAGAACTTGAAACAATCCGGGCGTATTTGGGTAATTCGGAAACACTGATGGATATTCTGAATTAAGACAAAAAAGTCACATTTTCTTCAGGGAATATCGCCAAAATAATTACGTCAATATATGTATATTCAACAAATTGGGTCGATCTGATATAACGAGAACTCTTGTGATGCCATACAAGGTGTTTCCTGAACAAGCGGAAAACATTCAAGCTGTGTCTCCTAGTGCCGAAATACAGTGGAATATCTCTGAAGAATAGTTTTTCCTTAGATATAATTCCCAAAATGAGATTTCCAATTCCAATAAACCAATGTGCATCGTGCACATAATACATTAAAAAAACTGAGCAAATCGTTATCTCGGAACATAAGCGTGTCGGGGCATAATATATGTTCAATTTCTCATGTACTTCTTGAGATAGAGATTTTGACATAAATCATATAGTTCAAACAATCGATGTTGATATTGATATTCTGGAATCGAGTAGGCATTAGAGCTATCATTTGTAGCTCATGTGCATTTTCTGTGGAAAATTTGGGAATTGTGCACTATGGATTCTGAAAAAAAAACGGTTACCTGGATACGTGCCTCAGGTAATCCAATTTTCTCTGCTAACCGCTCCCTGGCAAACACGTCTGGATAGTGGGTCCGTTCGAATTCTGGAAATGAAAAAATCATTCATATAGATATACCTATATTTGGTGTATACTTCTTCATACACAACAGTGAAAAAGGATTCTGCTGAAATATACAGAGCCTTTGATCGAATTTCATAGACTGAATGCTTTTAATTGATCGATGAATTATATGATAGATTCCTTATTGAGGGTGCTTGTATATAGGCTAGGTGAACTAAGATAATTATTGGATATGTTTTTGCAAGATATACTCTCTAAGAAATATGAGATTATCAAATTTCATCAATACCTTCTATATCAAAATCCAGAGTTTCATTGATGAAGTATATTATAAATGCATTAGGATCAAATGATATCTTTTTTATAACCTGACGGACATTCTCAATACAATTGGATTCGATTTTTGTTGCCAATATCTATGAACCAATTATTTGGGTGTATTTTTTTATCTATGTATAGGTACTCTGTACTCTGAAGTCTATAAGTGATCTTTTCCATAATCATTCAATTTAGATCTAAGTGGTAAGAACTCTGAAGTCATTCAGTCGGTATCATGCCCTAATCAAGAATGATACGTCAACTGATGTAAGGAAAACTTAGTTTTCCTTCAATTTCCTATGCATATTTCAACCAATCTGTGAAGAAATCAATACTAACCTTTCTCCAAACTATCGATCTGCTCATTAGTGAACGACGTCCTGTTCCTCTGGAGCTTCCTCTTGAGCCTCAATCGCAGTTGGGAATCTTCATCACCCGAAGAGTTATGCTCAGAGTTTCCGTCTGAAGTATTCTCGTGCATCACTTCGGCTGAAACAACAGAACGACATTCCATGAAAGAGGAGTATATTACTGAAGTTTTGCCATAAGTCCCGTCCCTTTCGAAAGTTGAAGACCGATGTGAAAACGCACAGATATTTCCGAGATGGAATCATGAGTTAGTAATGCACAGTCGAGATTGAAGTGGCCCAATCAAGTGGTGGAAAATTATAGGTTGTGACAAGTCATTCGTTCGACTACAGTGGTGATACCAGGATGGTCGATGGTTGACTCGACTCCCATCAAAAGTCAACGTGGCAACTTTGTGGGCAGGTTTGAAACGTGAACGATATTCCCAAACAGCTGGTTGGTCAGACTGATGGTGCGACTTCATACTGAACGTATATGTGCCTGGTCAAACCACAGACTTGACACATCCTTGAGATATATCTTTGTATATTGAATCGTTGGTTCAGTAAGCTGAAGTTCCTGATATAACGATGCTACTTTTTTCATCTCTTGAGGATTACGAAAGGAAATTCCTATAGAGTTCAAAGAAGGAAGGATACGGAGAGGAGGTAGGTATTGGAATTTTTCTCGACTTTTGGGAGTTATCAGTTTTTGGGAATACCTTCATTGGCAAAAAATTCCAAAGCTCTGCTATTCTACAGGAGAACGAGTGTTGGTAAAGTGTTGTTCGACATATCTCAAGGTTGATAACGAATGGATGTGCTGACTATGGGCTTCCATGATCCTTTTATTTATTGAAGCGAGTTGATTAAACAGAACTCATCGCATTGAAAAGAACCACAAGATATAGTCTCAAGTACTTGATTGAAAATGCAGGGGCCTGCCTGACTTGTTTTTATCTCTTGGATTGGAGCGTGCGAAAGGAAATTCCTATGAAGCGTGCCTAGGGAGAATAGAGAGAGGAGGTAGGTGTTGGAATTCTTTTTGAACTCCTAGAGGTTATGAGTTGTTGAGAATAATTCTATTGGCAAAGAATTCCAAAGCTTTGCTATACTATCCATTCTATAGACGAACGAATTTTGTTAAACTGTTGTTCGAGATATTTCAAGGTTGACAAGGATGTGCTGGCTGGGCCTGTTGAGTTCGTCTGACTGGTAGATATTGCTAGTGATGGAATAATTTCAGAAATTTCTGAGGAACATTTTCCTTGGAAGTATCGATAGTTAAGTGAAAGGTTCTGATGAAGTCAAAGAGTTAGTGAGTGTGGCATCACCCACCAGGCGCATGTATCTTTTCTGGATGGAATCAAAGAGCATCAGGGTATGTTTGGGTGCTGAGCCCTATATGTGGAAACAGTATTCTGAGACTGTATTCTAAAACGACCTAACAACTGAGTTACTCGCTTCAAGCTCCTGAAATCTTTCCAAGAGAAAGAAAGCAGGTGCTGAAGTATTTGATTTTTCTCAATAGAGTTGCAATGATGACTTTAACAGGGAATAGTGGGAATACCCAGGTAACAGCAGAGTCTAAGAGACATTATCATTATATTATACATAATATATTATTTTCATGTTTCTTGATAGAGTTGCAATGATGACTTTAACAGGCAATACCAAGGAGACGTTGTTGACGTAGGTTTTTCGTCACTTTTTATTTTTCTCGATAAAGTTGCTATGATTACTTCAAAAGGGAATATCCAGGTAACAGCAAAGTTTAAGGAGACGTCATCCTCATCTAGCTATATTTTGAATATCCTAGATTGCTATGATAAAAGTTTAATATTATATGATTTGTATGTATTGACCAATAAAATATCGTTATCGTATGTATTTCAATAATATTACACAAATTCTTATCATATAAGAAACAAACTTTTGAAGTATGCTCATGACAACAAAAAATCTATAACAATGGAGCAGTTGTCAGTGATGAGAAGAATTTGCAATCAATTGCCAAAACAAGGTACTTATTCATTCATTAATTTTGAATTGAAGGTATAGCATTTTTATCGTTTATCATAATGTTTGGATGGAAGATTAAACGAAAACTTCTCATTGGTTTTTGAATTATCCTCATTAGGTGTGGAAGTGTAACTATGTATCGTAACAATATGAAACATCATAACATAATATAACTCCCTCATATTCATGTGAGCAGTTTTTGTTTCTCGTCATCAGGTGAGGTTGAGTCCAAATAAAATCGAGCATCAACTTCAAACTCCCTCAAGCCAACTGCGAATAATTCAAGCTGTCGGGAGGCATTTGGAAATGAACATAACTTCCATGCCAGTGAACCTGTTTTGCCCAATCTAAACTAGTAATTGTGTTAGCGGTAAATTTCCTCGAAATACCCGACAACGGCAGTCGCAGAGAGCATCGAATCAACTGGCTCGATTAGCACGCTGGAAAATGTCAACGCCAACGAAAAAAGAAAATTGAAATGGCGGAGGAAAATGCATACCTATTCCAAAACACCATTGGTAGTGATTTTGAAGGCATTATGTTCACCACCTTGAGAGCAGGAAATCCAGAATGAATATGAATTCTTCCATCCACTTTTGGCATTATAACTTATGGAATCTGCATTCATATCGAAAATATGGATTTCATCAAAGATTTTACTCAAACGGGTTAGCCTTTTAACGTTTCTGAAACAATTTTAAGCCCTGTTTTCAAACAAATGGAGTTTATTTGTCATGATGATTGTTTCGACAAATGTCACTAATGTATGTAACAAGTTTTCAATCGGCGTCTCGCAGTTGTATTGTAGAAGGTAGTCGGTTTCATCCTGACATGTTATGAATGTAATAGTTTCATTATTTATGCATTGTTTCTAAAAAAGAACTCGATCCGAAACAAAATATCATTGGATCAATGAATCACTATCGGCACATTTATTATGGTACTATTCTCCTTCATTTACTGCGGTTACTACCATGTTACGGTCCTGATCCAAGACGCTTCTGACTTTCAGGGCTGATGGGCGCTTGATAATAGTTTCCGGATGAATTATGAATTCTCGAACCAAGTCTTCTTCATTGCAGGAGAAATATATAGTCGACGGAAAAATTGTATAACCAACTCGTAAAGTGATATGGCAAATATAAATTGAAATATCTCGATTATTTATCGCCCTCGCACCAATACACTAGTTGTTTAAATAGCTATAACAATATATGAACATTATATCAAAGCCCACAATGTTGAACTGCGGTATTTTGGTGAAGTTTGATCATTATTAACTCCAAAATGGCTGTATCGACTTGTCGAAAAATATACAGGGTGTTTCATTTCAAAAATCAGAGTTGATATCCTTTTAACACAGAATAAAAGTTTGGGTCGTCTCTTACCATTTTTTATCTGAAATTTTTTCATTTCTCTCAAAACCAATGAGTTGAGAGGAGGTTCAATATTAAGAGGCACACCCTGTACACAGTGGACCGTTTATTTTTATAATATCTGATTGTGAAATATTCTATGCAATCGATTGATTTATAATCACTGTTTCCCATCATTCAAATAACTCCTTGGCTGGTAAATTCAAGATTAATTGATGAAAACATCCTGTAACTCATTCGATTGCCAACGTCACCAACTGTCACTGATGAGAACTGAGAAGTGTCAAGGCGAATGAGAATTCACTATACAAATATCCATTTTCCTCCTAGCAGCAGGGAAAGTTGCTTTTTTCTGACATTTAACAGGCATTGACGGTGTACTTTTACTGCCTAGGCAGGCAAAGTTTGTTGCTATGCAACGTTCCAAGAAATTCTAATAAAATTGGTGATCAAAATTGACACCGACATTGGGTGTACACAAAATGATGAAATTTTTAACCAAAAGACTGCACGAAATGGGTTTCATAACATTTGAAGAAAAAATTATATGTTTCACACGGCCTAGTAAAATAAATTACTAGTTCTATGTTGGAAACGGGAGCAAGATTCGTTCCCGAAACGTCCAAAGCTAAGTGAATGTTTTTTTTTTCTTTTTCTATATACCTTTATTTCTCTTCTCCAAACTTTTTTTAATACAAAGCTATGAGGCAGCTGATCGCCTTGCAAAAAAAGGTGCAGCATCTGCACTTTTTGGTCCTGAGCCTTTTTGTGGGATAAGCAAATGTCACCTAAACTCAGGAAATGGGTATAGAAAATGGAAAGTCCTCCTACTGGAGAGCAACTCCATCAGGTCAACGATAAGCGAAAAGGTTCATCAATCATTCCTAGAACCGAGCCAAAGAGCTACTCAGCCTCAGCAAACCAGAGCTAAAGCTTATCACAGGCTTTCTCACAGGACACGGCCCTCTGAGGTACCACCTCAGAAAGATGGGCCTGGCGAAGACTGACACTTGCCGCTTTTGTAACAATGCGACCGAAACCGCGGAACACATACTTTGCTCATGTGAAGTGTCAGTCCGCCAAAGGCTGAACCACCTAGAACAGGTTTATCTCACCCCTGCTGAGGTGGAAAATTCAACCGTCAGGAAAATTCAAGGCTTCATCAGAAGTCTAGAGTTAGAGGACCAAAACTATATAAGGGTAATCACAATAGATCTTCTAGGTGGCAGTGATCGGCGAGAGGTCTTCCAGCTTATACGATCCATCTACAATAATCTACAACCTACAATCAACACTGACAAGCTAGTGAATTCTTCTTTTAGGCTCTCTGATAGGGACATTCTTCAAACGCAGTGACGTTTTGGGGCCAAATAATATTCATATTTTCATTTTATAAAAACTAGGAGAGACATTCTCAAAAAATCTGCCACTATCATCATATACTGTTAGATATAAATGGGAACAAGCGAGTTGTTGTTCAAATATTCATAAATGGCATCGAGTTCCAAAAATCTTCAATGAGACTGTTTTGCTTGAAATAAACTTCACTTTCCAAAATTACGCAAACTGCAATTTGAAACTTCAATCAATGATGTATTATATATACACAAATGATAATCGTATATAGAGTCCATATTTCTTATTTGGAGGAACCTGCTGATATCACTGTACGAAATTGAAATCCAGTAGTATTCGTCTTCCTGTCAAGAAACTGTCGGGAAACGAGACAGCAGGGAATCGTATGCGGTATACGGATGTGGGAGGAAGGGCGTCCAAAAAGCCGGCACACCAGCAGCGAAGTTAACGTTCCTCTGTATATTTCCCACCCTGTTGTGCGCGTCCCCATTTACTTCCGCTCCTGTAAACTCCACCCCATTTCATATCCACCCTCGCTATTTCATTCTCCTTGTTTTATTTCATCTTCTGATCCTGTCTCCCCCGCGCCGCGCGCAGTTCCCCCCCATCGACCTTGTTTATGTTTTCTGCCGACGAATCTCTCTTTGCAAATTTACATAATTTCAGATTTTACAAAATGTTTCTTCGTCGATCATCGTATAAACGAATTATTGTCAAGCTACGTTTCAATAGGGCTCCGAATCGAATATTGTAGATATTTTGATTTGATTCGATATGTTTTGTTTCACTTACTAAAGCGACATACACAAAGGGTGATCCAAATAAAAGTAAATATATATCATATATAAGATTGGTTTGTGCAGTAAAAAAATCGTATTCAAGATACAAGGTGTCGAAACTACTGGCAACATTGTATTGAAGTTTTACATTAATATGTTTTGAAAATTGACACACCGCATGAATTTGTGTTTATATCTGACTCTCATCGAGGGCGTCATATAATATAGTTACCCGGTTCGTAATTGGTAATATACCAAGAATAGTTTTGTATATGCCTTTTTTGTAGTTGAATTTTCTAGGCCAAATTTAATCTAAACTTGAAAATCATTCAATTTCTCATCGAAACGATACTACGTAGGTACTCTCGATACTAGTGACACCGTCGAGACGAGACGAGTAAGTCCTTGTTTCTTTGTTTTCTCGTCTCTTTGAGACAGACAGAGACGTTCCTTTATAAAAATCAGTCAACTTTTCAAATGGTCACGTGGAGTTCAAAATATAGATTATGTTCAACTTCACATAGATTAGAATGAAAATATACATATATAGATCTGACGAATTTCTGAAACCCATGATTTTCAGACTTATTTCCATAAAAAATTCAAACCAACATCATGAAACTTGATGGAATTTGAAAATTTGCAGGAAGTTTGCAGCCATTATCAGGCGAGTTCAACAGAATTTGGACTGGTGTGCATAACAATCAATATGATCAGGAACATGATTTTGAAAAGTGTCGTGCGTTTTTATAATATCGGTTATGTCACAATGGTCATCAACTCAAGCACATGTGACGTTTCAATAACATCAGCTGGTTGCCTGTGAAGAAAAACTGCTTTCAAC